GTTGGTGGTCTTAACCGCTGTCGACGTCGGTCGTGCGATTTGCGAAGGCTTTCTGTGGTTGTACTACCGTCTTTCGTCTACCTCTCACGAGCTGCTTAGATGTGTTGCCGGTCACCGGTTCCAAGACAGAAGCAGAAAGGTTCGAGAAATTCTTGAAATGAATTATTTTCTCTGAACCGCATTTCCAGTTAACACAAACGAGTTCGTCAACGAAGGTTCTTCTTGCCGGAAATACAACCGCAATCGGCGATGATCACAAGCACGCAGAGAATTTGCCTCTGTGGACCAGTCTGTCGTTAATCGTTGTTGCGAATGCAATTGGAGCTGTTATTTATAGATCCATCGCAAATCGTCAAACGGTAAGAAAGAGTGCTTATTATCGCTTAAAAGTGGTTTATTTTAAACTTAAAATCCCTTAAAGTGAGTGCATTAAAGATACTATCAAGCTACATGAAACGTTAACGATTTGAAGATTCGCTATGTATTTTCAGTCGTCAGAAGGCAGTGGTTCGAAGAACTCACAGGCAACTGTAGTAATTAAGGAACCGAAAGCTGCTTTACGCAAGACCGAAACCACATTAAACCTCTATTAGTTCAATATATTCTCGATATTAACTTCAGAGCATAAGTATCCCTTCTTTCACATAGTCAGAATGTGCTTTCCTGCATCAGGGGGTCTGAGATCATTAACGGATTTTGTGTGGGACTCTTGAATGATTGCGTGAAGTTAAGAGTACGGTCAACAGTATAATTGAGTGTTGTTTTTGTGGAGTTATTGGTTATTAGATTTTTGTGATGGTATGCAATGATCTTTCTTCCTCTGAACACGTAGCTCTATCGAAGGACATTATAAAAGTGGTCTAAAACGTACTCTAGTATTAAAAGTCTAAGGCTATGGTATATTTGGCAGACTAGCGTTGGATCTGGAGCAACGAAGGTACTCCTCTGACCCTACAGTAACTGTAAAGAGTAACGAACAGTACCTAGGAGCATGAATAAATGACTAATTGAATAAATGATTAAATAAGTGAATCAATAAATCAGCAAATAAATGAATTGATCGAATAACAAATGAATCGAAGAAGGAATTTATTTGTAGATAAGTGAAGAAATGGAGTTATGAAGGCATGAATGAACGATATACTGAAAAGACGTCTGTCCTTGCGTAAACTAAATGCTTACAGACAACGCTTTATATGCAAAAATCGAGGGGAACGACTTATTTAGAGGAGAGAACTGCACGTCATCTGGTGCATTCTCATTGAACAACACGTGACCGAGACCTAAGAGGGTCTGTGATGAGCGTTAAGACGATCTCGTCAGCCAGATACGAACATCAGAGACAAATTGAATCTGCATGAACTGTTCAGCAATAGCGAAGGAGTGTTCTGATTACAAGCAGCAAGGTTCAGCTGAGAAGAGTTAGGAGCGTTTCCTACCATTTACGTGTGAAGGATTTGCAGATGAATCTGGTATTGGGTCTACTTGATAGGTTAAAAAAAACTTTAACTTAAAACAGACGAAACTGTTCCAAGACTAATTATACAGCACATTGTTTCGGGTGGTTGGTTTTGGTGCACTAAGGGGACATTTAAGTGCCAGACTCATGTCGCATGATTTTGTTCTCTGTGACCACCTCGCGCTTTTCACGATTTTTCAAGACCTGCCACTTATTATGCGCTGCCACAGAATCATCGGCATACTTTGGCATACTGTAGTACGCCAAGTATCGCATGACAATTTCAAGACCTGGAGATGAAATTTATTTAATGGCCATTTTTGTGAATAGGAGATGAGTGAAG